GTGAGAATGGTAGAAAGAAAATAGCTTTCCTATTCCGTATTGATTGCATCCTTCCATCTATTGCTAATTATAGCCAGTATTTATTGAGTGCCTATCATGTACCTGTCACTGTTCTAGATATTTTACAACATATATGTCTAAGATTAATTAGTAGTAGATACATTGTATTTATTATAGTGATTACATTGGCAATACATTATATTGCTTGTCATGTGCTAAGACTGAGTAGAGTGACATGCTGTGACTTTGATTAAAATATGTACCTTTTTTCATTTTAAATTTATGTTTTCCATAAACGGTACACTCATAGTTCAAAAATCTGTAAATGTAAAAAGCTGTTTTATGATGTCTTCTTCCCACCCCTTTCTTCAGCCACCCAGTTCCTAACACCTTCCCCAAAATAGCAACTGTTGTTTGCTTCCTTATCTTCCCAGATATTTTTAGGTGTATACAAGCAGATATGAATACATTTTTCTATATTCCCCTGTTTTACATGAGTGGAAGTATAATATTAAATTTTGCACCTTATTAGTTTTTTCACTTAACATATTGAGATTTTTTTATTTTTCAGTTCTAGCTGGAATACAGTACTAGTTTCAGGTGTACAACGTAGTGATTAGGCATCTATATAACTCACAAAGTGATCACCCTAATAAACCTAGTGCCCCTCTAACACCATACATAGGTGTTATTATTGGCTATATTCCCTTATGCTATACTTTGTATCTCCATGACTATTTTGTAACTACCAATTTGTACTTCTTAATCACTTCCCCACTTTTTACCCTTCCTCCCTTTTTACCCATTCCCCCAACCCCTCCCATCTGGTAAACCCTCAAAATGTTCATTGTATCTGAATTGTTTCTGGTTTTTTTGTTTATTTTGTTCTTTAGATTCCACATACACATGAATCATGGCATTTGTCTTCCTCTGACTCCACTCAGCATACTACACTCTAGGTCCACCATGAAATATCTTGTTATAGGACCCCTTGGCACAGAGCTGGGAGGGGTCCAGCTGCAGGCCAAGTTTAGTTGCAGCCAACTGATGAGAGTCATCAAACAGTCCACATATAGCTGCCACCTGTGCTGGGCTTATAGGTGTCTCAAGGGGCCAAGTCAGAAAACGAGGCTAGCTGCCACTGCTGTGGGTCTTGGAGTGCACAGTAAGGGGTATGGGGCACGCCGAGGCCAGATGCTGCTGCTTTGGGTTTTGTGAGCCTTTGAGAGATTCTATGAAAATTTGCAGGTGGAGCCAAGACACCCTGTTTGTATAGAATAAATCACTGAAAGCTGCTTGGGTGGGCCCGCAAGTTGGGAAGGGTGGAGTCTCAGGGAATTCCCCGGGCTGAGCAACCTGTGTTATCCAAGTTGATGGTGCCTACGTCTGCAGGCTGGGAGGGGGAAGGGCTCAACAAAGGAACAGTGGCATCTGCCTGCACTCTGTCCAGGGGCCAGCCACATCTCCCTGGATGACTCTGGTACTCCTTGAGCAGCTACCCCAAAGCTGCAGCTCAGAGCAAGTGAGTCTGTCAGTGAGTAAGGCTGGGTGTGGGCCCTTCAAAAGGAACGTCTCCACTTCCCACAGCCCTCTTTCTCACTCAGTGGCAACCACTGCTGGTCTTCATAGCCAGAGGTCACAGAGACTTTTCTTCCTGGCACTAGAATCCTAGGCTAGGGAGCTCAGTATGCAGCCAGGACCCCTCACTCCTCAGGTATGAGAGGGGGCTCTGCAGCCAAGGTAGGCCCCCTAATTCTCAATTGCCACATACAGTTGTGGGACCAGGCCTTTTTGCATCTCCGCCCCTCCTACCATTTTGAGGTGACCTGTTACTTGAGGTGATCTAGTTGTAGGGCTTCTGTTCAGCCAGACCTCTGGCAACTCCATGAACTGGTTGCTCTGTAGTTTTGTTATAATTTTGGTGTGGTCGCTAGAGGAGGCATGTACAGCCTTTACCTTCTATGCCATCTTGAATTGCAAGTCAGAAATTTTTTTTGTATCAGTATGTTGGAGAGCTTCACAGTTATTTCAAACTTCTCTGCATAGTACAATGTGTACATGTACCATGTGTTATTCACTATAACTTATGTAAATTGCTTTCTTGATGGATATTTGAGTTATTTCTTCAGCTATTATCAACAGTGCTACAATGAATAACTTGAATGTACATTGTGCACATGGGGGAAGTGTGTTTGGAGGATAAACTAGAAGTGGAATTCCTATGTCAAAGAGCACGGCCATTTTTTTTTTAGCTATGAGAGTCGCTTTCTTTAACATGGTATTCTCTATGAGCCTGCTGCCTCAAAAATTTTCATATTTGATAACACTTTCTCAAGTTATAGACATTATTTCTGTAAACATAGGCAAGTTGGTGATAAATTTGGGCAAAAAAATCTTTTGTAAGTTTAAAGATCAAATTACAAATATAGCTTTTTATACAAACATAAACATTATTCTGAATTTAGGGATATGAAAAAAAGTAGGCAGTCCATGCTTCTTGAAGCTTATGGAATTAGGGAAACAATTGTGAATACCAGGTAAGGATTTGAAGTTAGTCAATAAATAATGGAAAACCATTATGTCCTTAAACGAGAAAGTGATATAAAGAGAATGCTCTACAGAGACTGCATTTCATATAATCAAACAATTGTGAACACCAGGTAAGGATTTGAAGTTAGTCAGTAAATAATGGAAAACCATTATGTCCTTAAACGAGAAAGTGATATAAAGAGAATGCTCTACAGAGACTGCATTTCATATAATCAACTGTTTTGTCACTTGTGTCCATTTTAATAGGTTCAAAAGGATTTCATGTCTACCCAGAAATATTAGAAGTATATGAGGTGACATAGAGATGGAGTGCCAAATCAATATTTTTTCCATGTGAAATCCCAATTTGCTAAAATATGTACTTTTGTCATTAAATGGTTTAAGTGACTAAAGTACGGAATATTAGAATTTTATAGTTTAATACCATTAGTATGACTAATAATGCTAAATCATATTTTTCCTTAATATTCTTCAATATTCTTTGCCTCGTTTGACATTAACACTGCTTTCCAAAGATAAGTAAACCAAGTTTTAAACGTGAAAAAAAAAAAGTGCTGTAAGTTACTGTTTGCAACAGTGTTCACTATGTATTAGAAAGGCAGAAAGTGAGTAAAACTACTGAGATGAGGTGTTAGGAGTATCAGTAGTAAAAACAAAAGCAGAAGCAAATTTGCTAATGCAAAAGAACCATGCTTGTTTTCAACTCCATCTTAATTTTCTCAATTACAATCTAGTATTTTCCTTATTAACATGATTGTTACTACATTAATGAAAAATGCCTGTTATATTTTTAAACATGCTTGATATAACTATAGTCATTTTAGAGATACACATGTAAGTTTGGAGTTGAATGAGAAAGTTAGCCTGAAATAGATTGTTACAGGTGTTGGGGGAGAAAGCTTAATCAGAAAAATAGAATTAGTACAGCCCAAATGGATCTGCCTTTTGACCCAGCAGTTATACTTCTGGGTATTTGTCCAAAGAAAACCAAAACGCTAATTCATAAAGATGTATGCACCCCAATGTTCATGGCAGCACTATTTACAATAGCCAAGAACTAGAAGTAACCTAAATGCCCATCAACAGACAATTGGATAAAGAAGTTATGGTTCATATATGCAATGGAATATTACCCAGCCATAAAAAAGAAATCCTACCATTTGCAATGACATGGGTGGACGTAGAGGTTATTATGCTGAGTGAAATAAGTCAAAGAAAGAAATACCACACGATTTCATTAATATGTGAATCTAAGGAACAAAAAGAAACTAAATGAAAACAGACAGAGGGCTTTCTAGTGACTGCCAGAGGGGAGGGGGTTGGGAGGCTGGGAGAAAGGGGTGAAGGGTTAAACAGGTACAAATTAATAGTCGAAAGGTGCTCATGGAAATGGGGAGTACGACATAAGAAATGGGTGATAGAGTAATTGGGATCATTTCATAAACTATATAAATGTCTAACCGATGTAGTATATACCTGAAACTAATAAAATTTTAAAAAGATTAGAGAAGTTTAGTATTGAAAAGGATCTCAGGTTCCCATCTTTATTGTTACATATTTGTAATCTGAGTCCTAGAGTAGTGAAGGGTTTTCAACAAAGTAATTTTTTGACAGAGTTTGGACTAGAATTTAAGTCTTCTGACTTCCAATTCAGAATGTTCTCCCAAGCCACACTTGTGCTTGGAAGAATACAGTAGTTTTTGCACAGATATGATTTTATTAGTTTGTGCCCAATCTGTAAAGCAATGAGAAAGTACCTAATCTGGTGCTTGACACATTATTCAGGTGTGTGACTGGGAAGCTAAGGATGAAAACCACCACAAAGTGACCTTTTTCATTTTGAGGTGATTTCTCCATTTTAAACTTTATCAGACTTTACCCTTAACTCTTTTAAGACACTTACCTTGTGCTATTCTTACTGTGTATATGTCTGTTCCTACCTCCAGCCTAATTCCCAGTCAGCTATTTTACAGCAGGGGCTGCTCCTGATTTCTCTCTCTATCCTCCACCATGCACGGCACTGGGTCATAAACCAATAGTAGATGTCTTTAAGTGCTAAAGTAGACCCGACCCTAGTTGCCAAGAATACAGCAGTGAAGACACAGGACTAAAATCCTTGCCATCAAGGTGCTGAAATTCTAGGGTGGAGGAGTGAGGGCGGGGGAAGGGGAGGCAATAAGTAATATAAGTAAGTAAACTATATAGTACGTCAGAAAGTGTTGTGTTGAGAAAAATAATGGAAAAGCTACTTCTCTGGATAATATGGGAAGTTGAATGAAAGCAGGCCAGGCCAGTAAGAAACCTAGCAAAAGATAACAGTAAGTTCCCTTCTGTGGGTTCCATAATTCCTGGCGAAAGTGAAAAAAAGAAAAAAACAAACCCCCAAACCAAAGCTTCCTGTCCCTTTAAAAATGGCGGTTCCGCACTGGCCGAAATTTCCATTGGTCTCAGAGGCGGAAAAGGCGGGGCGTGGCGCCGCGGAGTCCCGCCTCCTACGGCGAGTCGAAGGTAGCAAGATGGCCGCCGCGGAGGAGGACTGTCGGGTCGTGGCCGAAGCGGACCAGGAATTGGAAGAGCTTCTAGAAAGTAAGAGCTTGTAATGGAAAGGCCCGAGGAGGGCGAGTATGAGGACCCATTCATGGGGTCAAGTGAATCTGAGATATTTGGGGTAGGACGGGGAGGCTGCCCAAAGATTGGACGGGGGCGGAGTTTCTGACTGCGAGTCCGAAGATCTCTGAGTCTCCCTCTCCTACCTCTGCTGCGGGAGCTGGGAAGTTCACGTTGGGCCTCTGAGAACCCAGACCGTTGATCTCTCTGCGAGAGGGGAAGCAGTAACCCAGAGTTCTGCGTTTCACGATCTGGCTCTAATCTGGCCCCCAGCTTAGTTCAGATTAAGTTCTTGAAGAACTAACTTCATTCGGTTCTCGGTGGGCAGCGAACCGGACACTCACAGATTGTTTACATTAACTCTTAGCAAGCCTGCAGTGCGTCCTTCTATGCAGTGTCCTATCTTTCTTAACGCAAAAGACACTAATTTCCTTCTCTTAGTCCTTTCATCTTTCTCTCACCAGGCCTCTTTCCAGTTCTTTCATCAGGTCAGAGCTGAAACTGACTCTCTTTCTTTTATTTTTAAAAAGCGAGGATGAGAGGTCTTAGGGGAACACAGTTCACCCTCCCAAAAGAGGATGGATGTTCTTTTCTTCCTTAGCCCTGCCCTTCACTCATCTTGTCTTCTTGCCCAGAGTGGGGCCAGTGCCTCCCCCTAGGCCTGGCAAGCAGAATGAGGATAGGCTTTTCAGGGCAGAGGTGAATATTTTTTGTCTCTTGCCAGGTCACAAAGATGTGGGCAGGTGTAAGGATAAACAGACACAATGAAGAGTGCCAAGTGATTCTGTGTGAAGTGGCACATAGTTATTTACAGAGTTGGGGCCAGAGGGAGCTAGTTCTAGGAGCTTTGCCAGGGAAAGTTATGTTGGAGGATAAGAGATGAGAATTTGATGCCCTTCCATGGAGTACAGTATGGAGTCCCTCAGTTTGTACTAGTACCAGGGTACATGGGAGGCTAGATGAGACATCTTGTCGCTTATGCCCTTTTGTCAAAGATTATTCCTTTAAGGGTTCCAGAGGGAGTTCAGGGGGTTAAGGACATCTGTGTTCTCTGATCCTGTTGGATATTTGTGTGGCATTCCTAAAGAATCATGAGTGTGGCAGGGAAGGCACTGTAGATGAAGATGTCTCTGTAGAACTTCTTTTAACTCCTTCCAGCTCTGAGAAAGACACCTGTTCCACCTTAAGGCATTTCTTCCCCTTTGATCTTAATAAATTAGGTAATGAGGAGGGAATTGGGAGGCTTACTGAGCAGTGGGCCAAGAAAGGGAGACTCAAAAGAAAAATCTAGGAAAGCTGGCAGTTTGGAAGATTGTTCTCTCAATGCTTTGCTCAGAAACCCCTCAGCCTTCCATCATCGTCCATCTCCAACACACATACCATGTCTCTTATCTCTAAAGGTGCTCTTGATGATTTCGAAAAGGCCAAACCCTCCCCAGCACCCCCTCCTACCACCACGGCCCCTGATGCTTCGGGACCCCAGAAGAGATCACCAGGAGATACTGCCAAAGTATAAATTCCACCTGCTTAAGGGAGGGGGTGGGGATAGCATGCAGCTCTCAGCAGAGCTGCAGCAGGCCCCTGTGGGCCAGAGGGAGTGGGGGGCGGGTGCCTTGACCTCACATTGCTGAGTGCTCTTGCAGGCTTCAGTCCTTGTGAAACAAGGACTTAAGGTGGAAGTGAGAGATCTTAAAGAAGTTCCTTGAGAAAAGAGAAGGTTGAAATGGTTTGGGAATACCACTCCATACCCTTCCCTTTCTTGCTACCCTCATTAAGGGAGGGAGTTAGAATGTCCAATGGAGGCGAGTAGGAGAGAGGCACTACATTTCCTATAGCCTCTGCCTGTGGCTTTTGTCAGAGGCCAGGTGTAGTGCAGTGCCAAATGAGAGATTCATTTGGCTACTTCTCCCTTGCAGGATGCCCTCTTCGCCTCCCAAGAGAAGTTTTTCCAGGAACTATTTGACAGCGAGCTGGCTTCCCAAGCCACTGCAGAGTTTGAGAAGGCTATGAAGGAGTTGGCTGAGGAAGAGCCCCACCTGGTGGAACAGTTCCAAAAGCTCTCAGAGGCTGCTGGGAGAGTGGGTGAGGGGGGCATGCCCAGACAACTGGAAATATCTAAACAAACCTCTTAAGTCATTGTTGCTTGAATACACCAAAATTCATCAAATTGATACAAATACATCAAATTGATAGCAATCATGATACCACTGCCATGGGGCGGGGCAAGGAGATGGGAAGAAGGATGGGAACCCTTTTTAATGAAAGGGGTGAGATAAGTAGAAAGTAATGGGAAGGATTATTGAAACCTTTTAAAGGTTACAGTGTTATTTTGGATGTCCTCATGGAGAACAAACTGATATACAAGTTCATGTAGATTTGTGAAAATGACTATAAAGATAACCATAGAGCATTCAAAGATTTGGAGTGCTAGTGACTCACTAGTAAATGCTCCATATCTAAGCTCATAACCAGGCCAGTCTAGATAAGTAAACAGTTAAACTCCTAAATGACTTTGGCTCTTTTGATCTCTACTAGGCAGTGATGCGACTTCCCAACAAGAATTTACTTCTTGCCTAAAGGAGACACTAAGTGGACTAGCTAAAAATGCCACTGATCTGCAGGTGAGGGGGAGGAGGAGGTAGGGGTCTACAAGGGGCCCACTCCCAGACACTTCACCAATAGAGTCTCAAAGATGGACTCTTTTGGGTATCATCTCAAGTTTGTCCCTGACACACTGTTTTGCTACAGACAAGTTTAAATGTTCTTTCCCACCTGAAAGGGTAGTAAGCATCCCAATGAGACATTATACTTGCTCACCTCTCTCTTGTCCTTTCTAGAACTCAGGTATGTCAGAGGAGGAACTCACCAAGGCCATGGAAGGGCTCGGCTTAGATGAAGGGGATGGGGAAGGGAACATCCTCCCCATCATGCAGAGTATCATGCAGAACCTACTGTCCAAAGATGTGCTGTACCCATCACTGAAGGAGATCACAGAAAAGGTTTGTGAACTTCTATTTTTGCTTTTCTTCCTTGCTCTCCATTGTATCAATTCCTGTGGGCTACTTCGTCTGCTTAGAGCCTGCAGAGATAGAGAAATTTGAGTACACAAGTCCATTTATTTTTTTTTTTCTCTTTTGTTTATTTATTTGGAGTGGAGAGAATTGGAGAGGAATTATGTCTTTAAGAGAATAAAGCTACCACTCTGAGGATATATAAGGTAGAAGAGGAAATCCTTTAGCTCTAGTGTTCTGTAAACTGATTTGAAATTCTTTCATTGTCTGATCAACTCCTTGCATTTCTAAAGGTTGTAGATCCAAAACAAAGAAAAAACAAGGAAAGAAAAATGACAGAGACCATATGTGGCCCTTAAAGCCTAAAATATTTACTATCTGGCCCTTCACAGAAAAAGTTTGCCACTGTCTGGTTTATATGCCTACTCATTCCTTTCTCAACAGTATTTTTCAGTTTTTCTGTAAATTTGAACTCTCACTTTCATATAAATTTACCAATTTTTGACATTTTTGCACATTTGCTTTATGTTGGCATTAATCATCCTTTTTATCATTATTTTTATTTATCTCATTATTTTAGCTGAACCTTTTGAGAATAGTGCACATCATGATTCTTTACCTCTAAGTGCTTGTATCTCTTAAAAAAAAGTCTCTTTTACATAGTCTCAGTACAGTGATCACGTTTAGGAATATTTAATGATATAATATTGATATAATACTGTTATGTAACATATCCCATATTCAAATTTTACCAATTGTCCTAATGGTATTGCTAGCAGTTGTTTTGCTCTAATCTAGGATTCAATGCAAGGTCGCACACTGCATAAAAAGTTTGCTATCCTCTCATGGTCATGAATGCTCGCAAAGCCAGAGGATCTAGTTGGAGTCAGCGCTACTTCTCATTCTGAATTAGCTAATTTACCTTTTCCTTCTGCTCTGTCCTTCTTCCCTTCATACTTTATTTTTCTTCATATTTTATTGTCCCGTCTTACTCATTATTCACTTAATTCTTCTCCTCCCATTTTCTCTTTCCTTAGTATCCAGAATGGTTGCAGAGTCACCAGGAATCTCTACCTCCAGAGCAGTTTGAAAAATACCAGGAGCAGCACAGTGTGATGGGAAAGATATGTGAGCAGTTTGAGGCAGAGACCTCTGCAGATAGTGAGGCCACTCGGAAAATTCGTTTTGAGACGGTGCTGGATCTTATGCAGCAGGTAAGGCTTCCCTCTGCCTGCCTGCTGGTGCTGTCGCTTGGGTGTTTGGTGGAGGAAGCATCTAGAAAGGAGGCCATACTGCCAAACCCAGGAGGAGGAGGGAGCACAAGAGAGGCCACATAATACAGTCCTCGGGAGAAAGCAGAAAGATCATGGCTCAGATTCTTTGCGGCTGCTATATTCTCTTCTGGGATTTTCTCTGTCTCATTTCCTCTCCTTATTTTCCAGCTACAGGATTTGGGCCATCCTCCAAAAGAGTTGGCTGGGGAGATGGTGAGTATATCTTCTCCTAGATTTTAATCTGAGCCCAAGTTTCCAGAATTTTTTAACCTTTAGTGGTTCCACCTCAGGTGATAATTGTGGCTACTAGGGATGGACCTTCACATACTGTGACCTGAAATATGAGCGGTTGTCTGAGTCCCTTCATCTCTCCTCCAGCCTCCTGGCCTCAACTTTGACCTGGATGCCCTCAATCTGTCGGGCCCACCAAGTGCCAATGGCGAACAGTGTCTGATCATGTGAAACACAACATGTTTTTTTCCTCGCTTCCCAGTCATGGGGAACATCTGGAGTCAGCAGAACTACTGGGAGCTGAGGCAGGAGTGTCATCTGCAGGAGTGGTCTGCTCATTGCCCTCTGTCATCCCACCCAAGATTGTGCCATACCGGCTGAGGCTTTTTCTCTGTCTTTTTAGGAATTAGACCTATTGGGCAGGCCATTTTTGTGAGCTCTTTCAATTGTGATTTCTGCTGCTAGCAAAGGTCCCATGACCTATGAGGTGAAGGAAGGCATCCCTTTTGGGGCATGTATCTTCCTTCTTCCAAAGTAATGTTATATTTGGCCACATTGATGTTCACCTTTGTACCCAGAGTCTTTATGCTTTGTCTCTGCTTTCCCTCTCGGACCTGGGGAAAAGGGACAGAATCCTGTGACTCTATTTCTATGGTTTTCTTGGACAGAGTCTTTGGAAATGAATGGGGAGAAACAGCTTAGACTGGAGTTATAGGTTTGTCACCATGCCATCTTGCCTTCAGACAGACCTTTCAGAATTCCCTGAAGGGAAAGGAAGTGAAGGCTTTTGCATTTAATCACAGTAAGGTTGAAAGAGAAACCCTGGTATTCCTTCCTCTCTGGGTGCTGAGTCCTCTACTCCCTGTTCCAGCCTGAGAATTCAAGTTGCTGCCTTGATTCTTTCTACAATGCTGTGTGATCTGAGTGAACCCAGCCCTTGACCTTCCTTTGCCCTTTGCCTCTCCTCTTATCTCCTCTCTTTTAAAAAATACCTGTTTATTCCAACTCTTCTCTGAGCCCAAACTGACAAAGCAGGGCCCATCCTGTTTCCCATTCATCTAGTCCATCCACCACTCTCACTGGCCCCGTCTCCCTGGCAAACACATATAGTTATAGTATCAGGTCTAGGAAATGAATGACTGTTCTTCCCTAGACATTCTGGCTTACTTGAGCCATCTCTTTCCTTTGAATCCTGTCCCTTGATTCAGAGAGGTAGTTTGGGAAAAGGGTTGGGGTGCAGCCTAGGTCCTTTTTCTTAACTAATAAATATTCTGAGTGAGGAGTGTGGCCTGTTTTTCATCCAGGTCTTTTTCTGATCTTCCTCAGCTTCTGTAAGCTGCAACTTGAGTAATGTTAGACTAGTTCGGCATAACTGCAGTGCTGGATTCCACCACCATCCCCTTTCTCCAGCTTGATCTGCACCTCATTCGGCAAAGGAGAATGGCCTTTCCTCATTTCCTCTGAGTATTTCAGTCTGGGAAGCCCTTTAATTTGTATTGATTTTTAACATTTCACGTTATTAATAATATATTATTAACGTGTTTTCTAAATTATTTTTCTTTGAGCTGACCTTGCCCTCCTCTACAGGAGCCAGTGGATCTATGGACCTAGGCCGCCTTATGTTGGTATACTCTGGTCAGACCAGCTGGCTGTCCAGTTCAGCACATAGAAAATAACTACCAGAGCAAATTCACATTCATAATTTGAGTCACTTTGAGCTCCTGACATGTCACTTTCCCCTGGGATAAGACTTTTCACCCCTTAAGATCTCACATGTTCTATGGTATTGGCAAGGAAGGAATCATTCTTGAGCCCTCAGGCTTTTTGAGAAAGTCCAGCTGCTGCTCCTAATCAGAGTGTGGAAGAGCCCAGGTCTAAATCTAAGACTCCTTTATTCTCCATGAGATGGGAGACATACTGACAGATTTGTGATGATTGTTGTGGGCCTAAATGGCCCAAATTCTCTCCTTACAGCTCCAGCCAAAAGCTGAGTGAGGATAGAGAGGTGGGAGGGAAGCACAAAGGGACTCTGCTTCTTAAACTGTGTGCCTACTGTCTTGCCAGTTTTCATTTACAATTTCTCACTTTTTGCTGGTAGGGGCTTAATCCAGGAATCTGAATAGATGCCCCAGTCCACTTTAGTTTTGTTCTCAAGCCATTTGTTTTCATTTTTATTTTGATTGAACATGAACAAATTGACCTCAGGGACTCTCTGTTCTAAAAGCATTATTTGAATTATTCTAGGACTTGTGGTAGAATGGAGCACTCCTCATACTGTCTGTGGTAAAGGACCAGGTTTTTTGTTTTATAGATATCCAATTCTTCATACACCAATGTGTGTTCCTATTTCCCATGATAAGTGTGCAGTTCACACTATATGCTCCCCACAACGCAAGTTTGTTAACACCCAAACTGACCAGACCCCATTTATCAGGATAAGTCCACTGATCAGGCACTTGAATATCAGCAATGTCAAAATGCTAAAAAGTTTCTAAACTCTCAATTTCTAACTCATGTTGCAGACTGGTAAAATGTTCACAGACCAGTGTATATCTTTTAATCACCTTTGAGTAGCACTACTCGGGGGCCCTCCTCAATCTCTGTTAGCTCCATCAGCCAAACATGTTTCTGTTTGTAGGTCTCTCCCTCCTAGGTGAAGGTTGCTTGTAAGTGAACTTTTTCTTCAGCAAGAATATGTCACTGTAAGGACATTAGTTTTTTTTTCTAGTCTGCATTTTCTGCGACTTAAAAATAACCATTACAAAGGTTATGTTTAAGCTATATTTGAAGTGTTCATGCTACTCTCAAACTTAAAGGAGGTACCTCAGTTCCAAAATTCTGTATGTTAAAAGGAAATTTGTGGTTTGGATTTAAGAATTTAGAGTCAAATTTCTACAGAAGTTGTGATAATAGGGGCATTTTCCTGTGACTGGAACATCCTAGCAAGGCCCCCATGAGGTGTTTATAACATACTTTGGAGATGGTTTTGGGGAGCTTGGGAAACGTGATGGCCCACAGTAAATGAAGTTGAGAATACAGACTGTACAAGAAATGATCAAAAAGTTTAGAGGAAGTGGGCATGTGAGAATTAATGTATATTATTATGGAAAAGCCACCAGCTGACTATATCCCTCAGGAAGGCCTGGGAAAAACTTAAAGGAAAGGCACTAAAAAAGGGATCACCAGCATCTTTGAGAAGTTTAGAAGTGTCTGTCTCTGGGTGGAAGCTGATGGAAGGGGATGTTTAACATCTGGTTTTCCTAGTAGCAGTGGGGATGACAGCTCTGGCATAGCAGAGGCCAAATGGCAACACTTAACTCTCAGAAGCAGGGTGGGTGGATTTCCATAAGGGCAGCATGGTACAAGCGGAGATGGCTAATGGAACATGGGTGGTCTTAGGGACTAGACGGGCAGCCAAGGAGGGTATTGATTTCAATATAATTAAAAGATCAAGAATGGTTGACCAGAACATTGAGGTCAGTAACTTCAATGAAAAGATAGAGTTCTCTGCCCAGTTTTTAGGCCTGAGAGAGTTCTCAGACTCAGCCTAGCAATTGAAAGAGCTATTTACTTAGTTAACCATACGCTAGAGAAAGGACACCCAGATTTTTTGAGTTGGAAAACAGATAAGGGGTCTGAATTGACACTAACCACCAAGGACTCAAAGCACCATCAAAGCACTTCCCCTCCCCCAAACCCCACACTCCACCCTTATTACAGTAGGGAAGTAACAGGATCAGGTAATAAGTGAAGTGCTTACCCAAATCTGTCTCGCAATTGGTCCAGAAAACCACTTTATGGTCATTTTTTCAGTTTCTAAATGTATAATCAGAATAGATATATTCGACGTAGTTTGAGAGAAAGGCCAAGTAGAAGCCCCTGAAACTGCATTCTCACCTCTACCAGAATAGTAAATAAAAAAATTTTACATTCTGGGGAAATGATAGATTAGTTCCACCCTTAAAACTTAAAAGGATGCAAGGTATTGGTCTCTATATCATTTACTTTCACATGTGTGGCCCTTGCAAAAACTGGATGGCCTATGGTGGATTACAGTGGACTTCTGCAAAATTGAGCAAGTAGTACAACTTCAGTCCTGTATTGGATGTGTTTTCTTTACTGGAGAAAGTAACATAGCTTCTGGTATGGGTATGTGGTATTAATATGTACTATCTGGTCCTTTACAGAAAGTTTGCTGACATTCCTGATAATAGTGAATACAGTAAGTCTTCATTTATTGATGTTAATAGGTTTTGTGACTTTAAGGGAAATGACATATAATGAAACCAATTTACCATAGGCTAATTGGTACAAACAAGAGTTTGATTCCTTTGGCATCTCATCAGTGTTATAACGAAATGTTATTTGAGGACCTGCTGTACTCTGGATTCCTTGGTAAGACACATACACTACAGAAGGTGGGAGACAAACCTTGCAAAGATGCAGGGCCCTGTCACATTGGTTAAGTTTACCAGTCCAGCAATCTGGAGCATTCTGCAACATCCTCTCCAAAGTAGAGGATAAGTTATTGCATCTTGTGTTTTTTACCCCAAGAAAGAAGTTCAATGCCTTGGTAGGCCTCTTTCAGTTTTGTAGGCAGCATATTCTGTACAGGGGAATGCAAGAAAGCTCTCTGCAGCAGGTCCAGGCTATGATACAAGTTGCCCTCCTGCTTGGGCCATATGACCTGGAAAATTCTGTGGTATTAGAGGTATCTGTGGAATGAAAAGATGCTGTGTGAATTCTCTGACAATCCACAGTACAGACTTCTAGGTGTCTGGAATAAGGTGATGTTATCTGCAGTAGAGAAAGTTTTACCATTTGAAAAGCGTCTCCTGGCATATTGTTAGGTTCTAATAGAGACTTGGTGCATGACCACAAAATATCAAGTGACTGACCAGTTACTCATATAACAAGCTGGTTCTTGTCAGACCTACCAAACTGTAAGATTGGGTAGATACAACAGCCATCCATGTTACAATAGTAATTGTACATTTGGAAAGAAGCCCAAGCAAACTTGGTGGGCACAAGTAAGTTAATTGAACAAGAGGCCCCAGACCTCCCTATTACCTACATCTGTTGCACTGATACCTTTCTCTTAGTTCATACCTATAGCAACATAAGAATTCCTTCAACCATTTGACAGAGAAGGAAAAAATTCAGGTCTGGTTTGTGGGTAGGTTGGCTTGATATGTTAGACCAAGCCAAATATGGACTACTGCTTCTCAACAGCCCCATCCAGAGTAATCCTGAAAGACAAAGGAGAAATTCAATGAGTAGGTCTTTAGGCAATGTACCTGGTCATCCACTTTGTCTGGAGAGAGGAGTGGCCCGAGGCAAGGAAATACATAGGAAGCACAGTCAGTGGGCTAGTTGGTCAGGGGCCCAGAGGAGCAAGACAGGAAAATGGGGAAAACAAGTTCTGGCATGGAGCATTTGGGTGATCTTTGAGAGTGGGAGCTATTAAAGTATTCACCAGAAAAGTGCTAAATAATAACCAATATAAACAAGATGATTTCAGGACCACCTAACCTGTCCCAGTTCTTGTACAGTTTGCCCATAAGTCGAATCACCCCAGTAGCAGATATAGAAGCTCTTTACTGGCTTATTAGCAAAGACTCCTCTCTCACTTAAGGCTGACTTTGCTAGCACTACCAACCTGTCAGCAACAAAGCAATGCTGATCCCTTAGTTCCCCTGCTCAAGAACAACCAGCCACTTGGTGACAAGTTGATTATATTGAACATTTTCCGTTCTGAAAAAGGCAATTTATTCTGATCAGGACTGATATATGTTTTGCTTTGCCTATCAAACCTAAATGCCTCAGCTAGTACTACCATCCAAGGACTCAAGAGATGTTTGATCTACTGGCATGGAGGTCCTATATAATAATGCCTTGAAACAATGGACCCACTTAATGACAAAGCAGATGCAGCAGTGGGCACATGACAGTATGATCCGCTGTTCCTACCAAATACAATTCCATCCCAAAGATACTTGGCAGAGTAATGGAATGGCCTTTTGAAGGTGCATTTGTGGTGCCAGCAAGGATGGTGTGCTGTCCTTTGCAATAGAGTATAAACCTACATGACCATAGTAGGGTGCTTTATCCCTAGTAGAATTCATGGGCTCTGGAACCAAGGGGTGGAAATAGGAGTGACCCTATTCAACATCATCCCATTTGTGCTTCCCATTCCTGCAACTTTAAATTCTGTGGGTCTGGAGGTCCTAGTTCCCAAAGAGGGGATGTTTCTACCAGGCACAACATAAGAATCTCAATAACCTCAAAGATATGGTTGTCATCTGGCCACTTTAGGCTCCTAATGCCAGCAACTATCAAGCAAAGAAAGAAGTTACCAGATCATCTGGGATAAGTGACAATTCGTTTTGAGGAGTTAGGGCTGCTGCTACATTATGAACGCAGAAAGTAAAGTGATGCACATGTGACCCTAGGATATTTCTTGGTCTTCCTATACTCAGTTTTAACTGTAAATGAGTAAGTAAACTATTATGACCTAATAAGGACAACATGTCCAGGGGCTCAGAACCTCTTCTTGTAAGTTTCTCCAGAAATTGTGACTAACCAGAACACTGAAGCAACTGCCTGGATAGAGTAAACTTAATATACAAAGCAAATGTGTCTGACCGATGGTAGAGGTGGACTGTAGTAGACATTGCTGGTACCCTGTCTAGATCCCTTTGCCAGGAAGTTTCAGTGTTAGCTGCTAATAGTTTGCATCTGCATCCTCTTGAGAATTACCCTCTGTGTCAAGAGGAGCCATTTCTGGAAACTTCTGGAAGGTTATGCCCTCCCAGAGACAGCACCACAGCCAATGGTATAATGTCAATTCCTACAAAGAAGTCAGCTGAGAGTCTGATAGAGATTGTATTATCAGTGATGATATGTAATAAGTTACCAGCAAATGATACTAGCATACAAAATTCCTTTCCCCTATACTCAAGGTGGGACAGATGTGCCATTTATGTGCCAAAAGTTCCCAGTGGGGGCTAAACTAATCAGCTTAACCCATATCTTTGTCTAACTTTTCCCCCTGTCCTATCTTTTTCTCTCACTACATTACAGGTTTTACTTGAGAGCACTCCATCAATAAACCACTTGAACAGAATCCCTTTCTCAGACTCTGCTTCAAGGGAATCCAACCTAAGACAGGAGAACAGTGGTGTCAACTAAGAGATAAGAATAGGAGCAGTCAGAGTTTGACAGAAAATAGAGCAAACGTGAGTTCAGTTTGGTAATGTTGATGTGCTATTCATTGAAATAGAAGGGAACATTCTCAACTTGATAAAGTGCATCTACAAAAAAGCTACAGCTAACATCATACTTAATAGTGAAAGACTGGATGCTTTCCCCTTAAGATCAAGAACTCGATATCAGCTCTCACCACTTCTAGTCAATATTTTGCTGGAGGTTCTAATTGCTAGTGCAATTAGGAAAGAAAAAGAAATGCATTAAGATTGGAAAGGAAGAAATAAAACTATTTGCAGATGGCATGATCTTGTATGTAGGAAATCCTAAGGAATCCCCTAAAAAACTATAAGAACTAATGTATTTAGGTTGCAGGACATTAAGATCAATATACAAAAATCAGTTGTATTTCTATATATTGAACAATCCAAAAATGAAAATAAGAAAATTCCATTCATGATAGCACCAAAAAGAATACTTAGGTTAAAAAAAAAAGAATACATAGAAATAAATTTAACAAAAAATGTGTAAAATTATACTGTGAAAACTACAAAACTTTGTTGAATGAAGGAAGACCTAAATAAATGGAAAAACAGCTCATGTTCATGGAGAAGCCCTAACATCATTAAAATGGCAATACTCCCCAAACAATCTACAGATTCAATGCAATTACAGATTCAATACAATCCTAGCTGACTTTTTCTGTGGAAAATTTACTAGCTCATTCTAAAATTCATATGGAATCACAGTGGACTCAGAATAAGAAAATGATCCTGAAAAAGAATAAAGAAGATTCACACTTCCCAATTTCAAAACTTATTACAAAGTAATGGTAATCAAAACAGTATGTTATTGGCACAAGAATAGACACAGATACCAATGGAATAGAATAGAGCCCAGAAATAAACCCATACATCTGTGGTCAACTGCTTTTTTAAAAAATTATTATTTTTTTTAATTTTTTTTTTATGGTGACATTGGTTAACGAAATCCAGTAAGTTTCAGCTGTACATTTTAACAGTAAGGCAAATATATATTTACAATGTGTGTTCACCTCCCATAGTTAGATTTCTTTCTGTCACCACATATTTGATCCCCTTTTACCCCATCTACCTCCCCTCTCCAATCTGGTAACCACTAGTCTATTGTCCATGTCCATGAGTCTCTGTTTGTCCTGTTCATTTGTTGATTTTAGGTTTATATCCCATGTATAAGTGATATGTGGTTTTCAATTTTTTCTGTCTGATTTATTTCACTTAGCATGGTTATCTCGAGGTCCATCCATGTTGTCGCAAATGACAGTATTTCATCTCTTCTTTTGGCTGAGTAATATTCCATCGTATATATATATACCACAGCTTCTTTCACCAATCATCTGTCATAGGACACTTAAGTTGCTCCCATGTCCTGGCCACGGTGAATAATGCTGCTATGAACATCAGTGTGCAAATATCTTTTTGGATATAGGTTTTCAATTCTTTGGTGGGTAAATAGAGGGATTGTTGGATCATACAGTAGATCAATTATTAGTTTTTTTGAGAAACCTCTATACTGTTTTCCATAGTGGCTGTACCAATTTGCAGTCTCACCAGCAGTGTATGAGGGTTCCTTTTTCTCTGCATCCTCTCCAACACTAGCTATTCTAACAGGTGTGAGATGTTATCTCATTGTGGTTTTGATTTACATTTCCCTAATAGCAATGTTGAGTATCTCTTCATATGTTTCTTGGCCATTTGTATGTCTTCTTGGGAGAGGTGTCTGTTCAGGTCCTCTGCTTGTTTTTTAATTGGATTGTTTGGGTTTTTTTGTTGTTGTTGTTACTGAGTTGTATGAGTTCTTTGTGTATTTTGGATATTAGGCCCTTATCGAAGGTGGTGTTTGCAAATATATTTTCCCATTCGGATGTCTCTTTACCTTGTTGACGGTTTCTTTTGCTGTGCAAAAGCTTTTTAGTTTGATATAGTCCCATTCATTTATTTTTGCTTTTACTTCTGCCTTTGAGGTCAAATTCATAAAATCCTCTTTAAGTCCAAGGTCCATGAGTTTAGTTTCTATGGGGTTTTTGTTTTTGTTTTGTTTTGTTTTTTTTGCATTTTATGTTTCACATTTTATATTCAGATCTTTAATCCATTATGTGGTCAACTGATTTTTGACAAGGGTTCCAAAACCATCCTGTGGGGAAAGAATAGTCTTTTTAACAAATAGTTCTGAGACAACTGGATAGCCACATGCAAAAGAATGAATTCAAACCTTACTTTGCACCATGTACAAAAATTAACTCAAAATAGACCAAAGACCTAAAATTAATAAAACCATAAAGCTTTTAGAAGAAAACACAGGAGTAAAACCTTCATAACTTTGGATTTGGCTGAAGATTCTTAAATATGACACCAAAAGCATGAGCAAAAAGAAAAAAAAATAAATTAGACTCAACAAAATTTAAAAAAGAACGCCTTCAAAACAGTGAAAAGATAACCCATAGAATGGGAGAAAATTTTTGCAAGTCATATATCCGATAAGGGACTTGTATCTAGAGTATATAAAGAACTCTTACAACTCAATAATAAAAGGACAAATAACCCAACTTAAAAATGGGCAAAGGATCTGACAGAAATTTCTCCAAAGAAGATAACAATGTTAAATAAACAGGAAAAGATGCTTTACATTGTTATTCATCAGAGAAGTGCAAATCAAAACCACAATGACATAAACACTTCAGACCTACTGGGATGTCTAGAATCAAAAAGTCACATATCAAGTATTATCAAGGATGGTGAGAATTAGAACCTTTATACATTGCTGGTGTGTCTGTAGAATGGTATAACTTCTTTGAAAAACAGTCTGCTAGATCCTCAAATGATTAAATATAGAGTTAATCATATGACCGCACAGTTCCATTCCTGGGTATATATACCTAAGAGAAATGAAATGAAACATCCCCATAAAAATTGCACATGAATGTGCAATTTATAGCAGTATTTTTCATAATAGCCAAAAGGTAGAAACAATTCAAGTGTTCATCAATAGACAAATGGACAAACAAAATGTGGTGCATCCATACAATAAATATTTGGTTATAAAAAGGAATGAAGTATGCATACATGCAACAATATGTATGAACCTTGAAAACATTATGCTGAGTGAGAGAAGCCAGTCACAAAAGACCATATACCATATGGTTCCGTTCATACAGAAGCCCAGAATAGGGAAATCTGTAGAGATAAAGTAGACTCGTGGTTTCTTAGAGCTAGAAGGGATGAGAAGATGGGGGGCGGTGGTGATACCTAAAGGGTACTGGTTTTCTTTTTGAGGTGATGAAAATGGTTGAAAATTGACTGTGGTGATGGTTGCACATATCTATGAGTGTACTAAAAGCCATTCAATTGTACATTTTAAATGAGAGAATTGTATGGTATGTGAATTTTATCTCAAGGCTGTTTTTTTAAAAGTGCCATTGTCAATCAGGTACATGAGTCTAAAGCTTGAAGAAATCTGGGTTGGAAATAAAGACTTGGGAATCATCACTATGTTGATGGTAGTTTAATAATGAATAAATTCACTTTGAAAGAGCATGTAGAATGAAGAGAAAGAGAAGCTTGAAAAATAAATGGGCAGAGAAATATAAATAGAATTATGGAATATAGTGTCACAGAAATCAGTGAGATTGAATATCTAGAAAGGGTAATGATCACCACAACCTCAAATGTAATAGGAAAGCCCAAAATAAGAGAAGATTTGGTGATAACAACAATTAATTGGGCGGTGTCCATCAAAGCAGTGAGCATAGAAACCAGATCACAGAAGATCTTTATAGCTCTGCTAAAATCACTCTTGTTAAGATCTTAAATAACTTCCATGTTTCCAAAGCAGTGGTCAATTTTCAGTCATTTTCAACATCAAACTCTCAAACAGGAATGACAGCTTATAATGCCCTTCTGGAAACATTTAAAAAGTTTGTTTTATAAGACCCCTTGCTCTCTTGGTTTTTAAATTCTTCCTATTTCCTGGTTGCTCCTTTTAAATAAATTTTGCTGGATTTTCTTTCTCTCTGCCCTCTACTAGTCCAGTGCCTCAGAATTAGAGGCTCAGTCTATAGACAATTTCTCTTTCCTTCCACATTAACAAAGTGAGTGTTCCCCATCCCATGGCTATCTTAGTGACTCCCTAAATAATATCACCAATTGTCCCTTCTGTTAGATTCAGATTCATATTTCAATTGTTTACTCAGTAGCTCCATTTGGAAATCTAATAGGTATCTGCTGCTTAACATGTCTAAACTAGAATTGGATAATTCCCCCTCAAACCTGCTCCTGTCCTCCCACTCAGTAAATGGCATTGCTATTCATCCTGTTGAAGTAAAAAAATAACTGAGATATCTTGACTTTTTATCTTGCACCCAAAGTATATCCTGAATCCAACCACTTCCAACCACTTCCACGGCAACACTAGCCTTGTAGGTCTGCAATAGCTTCCTAACTGGCCTTTCAGCTTCTATTTTGCCTCTCTTCAGGCAGTCAAAGAATCAACCAAAGTAAATTTCTTCATTGATAAAAGATCATGGCACTCTTTCATGCAAAACTCTCCATGGCTTCCTAGCACTCTTAGGGGAAAACCCAAAGTCCTCTTTTTACTAAGTCCATAAGACATCTGGCTCCCATCTTGTTTCTCCAAATTAATTTCTTACCTGCTCTTTTGCCTTCCTTGCTATTCTTTGAATATGCCAAGCACACTCAAGGTTCAGGGTTTTTGTTGTTGTTGTTTTTACCTTCCTGTTTTCTCTGCCTGGAAGGTTATTTTCCCAGTATGTATGGCTCACTCACTTCAGATCTCTATTCAAATGTCACCTCAGCAGAGGGGCCTTCCTTGAATCCCTTATAAAAAAGAGCACACCCTGCTCTCTTTTCCTTTACAGTGCTCTTC